GCCCCTGGCAGCAAGTGGCCCCTTGGCTGCTCCGAGCGATCATGTTCGGTGGGGTGGGGGCACTGGGGGCCACCAGGGCACCTTCTGTGGCCCACCCACTGGTGTTACACCCTGGAGAACTGTAACACAGCACTGGGGGAGTGGGGACATGCAGAGGGTCCCTGGAGATGACAGTGGCTCTCTCCAAGCATCTGGCTCAGCTCAGCAGTAGCTGCTCCCAGAATTAGCTTGGGATGTTCCGGGAAAGGAAGTGCAGCCCGTCAATCCCGTTAAGGGTTGTGTTAGGGATTAGAGTCCGGGCTGGGCCCTCGCCAGCCCCACGGCGCAGGACGAGGTACTCACGGAAGTATTGCAGGGTCTCCTCGATCTGCTGGGGAGTGAGGGGGGCCGGGGGCTCCAGGGGGCTGAGGGGAACGCGCAGCCAGTCGTCGTGGTCGTAGCCGAAGACGGTGTCAGCCCGCAGCGTGTAGCGGGGCAGCGGCTCCCCCAGCAGGCTGATGATCTCCACCTCGGGGACATCGCCGCTGCACAGGTCTGGGGACAGAGGGGCACAGCATCACTGGGGGTGGGGGCACCCGGGAGGAGGGGTTTGCGGGGGGTCCATGGGAGGAGAGCGATCCCGCACCCTTCAGCCCAGTCTGTCCCCTCAGGGTTTGGGGCTAATGTCACCAGCTGGGTCTGTCCCCACAGCCACTCCTGTAGGCACTGGGGTCCCTCCCGCAGGTTGGCACACAGGGACCCCTGACCCAGCTCTGCTCTGCTCCCCCCTCGTCCCCCCGCGTTCTGCGGGCAGGGTCCTGCTGCCATCTCCTGGCCACGCTCTGCCCCCCGAGCGGCGCTGGGATCAGCAGGCGGGACAGCAGCGTGTGAGGGATGCCTGACGCAGCTCAGCTCCAGCCACGCCATGCGGACAGGACGAAGGACCAGCCCGGAGCTGCCCAAGTTCTGCACCTCCCCCGACCCCGGTCCCCACCGGCACTGCCCGGCCCCACCCACCGGTGACAGTCGCAACATCGCGGCGCCCACCTGAGGCTGATCCGTGGGGCGCGGGGCTGGCGTGGGGCAGGGCAGCAGTGGGTGAGGGTGTGCCAGGCTGGAGGTGTGGGGCAGGTGGGTGCTGGCCGCGGGGGGTCTCTTGTGGGACCGTGGTGTCCAGTTTGGCCGGCGTTACATTGCAGGGGTGGCTGCCATGGGGAAAAGCACCCTCCTCCCTGGCTCCCTGCAGCAGCGCTGGCAGGGAGCAGAGTCCCTTCTCTGGCCCCTGTTTGGGGAGAAGGAGCTGTCAACATGATGCTCTGGGGACACATCCCGCACCCCAACCACATGCTCAAGCATCTGGTTGTGCTCTCACATTCTGCTGGCCAAAACCCCTACCCAGGGGCAGTGTCTGCCAGGCCCAGGGGCTTTCAGAGACCTGTACAGCACAGCAAGGACTCCGGTGTCTCCACTCCCTGGCCAGCCCATGGGCTGCTGTGGACACAGGGCGACCACAGGGACAGCCAGTGCCCAGGCAGGCCCCAGTTCAGCCTCCACCTGCTGCTGAACACGGAGAAGTTTTGGGGGTGGCAGTGGGTCAGCATACCTGCTCAGCGGCAGCTGCTGTGTGGTGCAGGAAGCTCAGCAGCAGAGCAAACACTTGGTGATGTCCGGATCAGCTCCAGTGCCAGAACGGGTACAGGATGCTCCCAAAGGACCAGTCAGGCCCCTGCTGCTTCCAGGCTGGTGGCCAGGTGGGGGAGGGGGGCAAGAGAACCAGCTGCAGAGCCACTCTGCAGTGGGTGGAAACAGCTGTGGTGCCAGCAGCTCTCACAGGAGCCCTTGGGAGCCCCACCTCAGAGAGCAAAGTTCAGTTGTGATCCTCCACCCCGTCAGCACCAGGATGCAGAGCAGGGACCTGCCATGTTGCCCAGAGCAGGGCTGGGCAGCATGCACAGCCTTCCAATCCCAGCCATAAACACATAACACAACAGGCCATAAAACCAGCTCGTTCCTGCTCTCCTGCCAGCTCCAGTGGCCCTTGTTTGGGCTGCAGCCACCGCTGTCCCTGCTGTCCCTCTGCCCTACGGGGCAGAAGTCTCCTGCACAAGCCCCATGTCCCCACCTCCTCAGCAGTGGGGGCTGCAGCACCAGCAGCCCCTCACCCCAGGAGCAGGTCCCTGCCTGGGCAGAGCTGCCCTCCCTCCCGGCACACGCTCATGTCTCCTGGCATGTCCACAGCACCCAGGTGAAGCCACTCTGCACCTCCCTCCAGTGACACCTGATCTTCCCCAGCACATGGGACAGGCACGAGGCAGCAGGGACACTCCAAAGCACACCCGCAGCCCCACAGCTCTCTGCCCCATGGCACCGGGACCACCAGACCCAGGTGGCACAATCCTGCACCTCACACACGCTCATGTCTCCTGGCATGTCCACAGCACCCAGGTGAAGCCACTCTGCACCTCCCTCCAGTGACACCTGATCTTCCCCAGCACATGGGACAGGCACGAGGCAGCAGGGACACTCCAAAGCACACCCGCAGCCCCACAGCTCTCTGCCCCATGGCACCGGGACCACCAGACCCAGGTGGCACAATCCTGCACCTCACTGCCCAGAGCACAGCCCCCAGCCCCACATCCCCAGACCCTCCCCCCCACACTTCTCCCCAGAGACCCACCGTGCCGAGGTGCCCCGCTCCCCGCACCGCGCTGCCTCCAGGGAGCCCAGCCCTTGAGTCAGCACTGGGGCTGCCAGAGCCCTGCGTCTCCCTCTGGCCCAGCTCCTGCACGTACAGTATTTCCTCCCAGGGGGACCTTGTTCAGACACGTGTGAGCAGCTCCCATTGCTCTGGACCCTGCTGTCCCCACGGCCAGCAGCATTCAGCTGTCGGATGACCTGGGGACCAGTCCCGTTGGTGCTGGCAGGGACGCGGGAGAGAGCAGGAGGACGGTGGGTCCAGCCAGTGGTGGTGGGGCAGGGGAAGGGGCCCCGGGCCAGCCCCTCGCAATGCCGA